TTTTGCTTTGTTCTGATTAGCCATTAAATCATTTTTTCAAAAGCAAAACAACATATTTCTGCATTAAAAGTGTCTCAGATGTGAGTAGTTGTTGGTTTCCAGTGATAGCAAACTTAAATTCTGAGGATTTTGACTGCTTCTCAAACACCTGAATGTCTTCACTATCTTATGACTCAAGGATGAAAGGCTTGTAAAGAAAATGGTTTTCAGCTGCACTGATGATGAAGATGTTTGCTGGTTCCAGCCTCATAGTACTTCTGCGATGGAATAATAGTACGGCACAGAATGTTGAGCTTTTTTTTTGCAGAATCTGGTTAAAAGAAAAAGGTCATTTTTTATGATTTTTTCAAAATGAAACACGTAGACTAAAGTGATTTTCATTAAATATCACATTTGCAAGCTTCGGTTTGGTTAATGTTAGACAGTCCAGAAGTTGAACGTGTGTCCTGGGACCATATGACTCAAAATAAAACGGTTTGACGTTTTCACGACACACTGTGAAAAAGTCCTGTAAAAACACTGATGACAATCTGGTGCCACAAAATACATGCAACGTTCAAAAACTGTCAAGGAACAGTGAAAATAATAGCAAACGTAAGAAAAGTCTTCATAGTTTAGCAGATTTAAATACATTAAAACTGTTTAATTTTACAGTCACGTAGTGTGAAAGAACCGGTTTGGTTTTTTTAAAGTCAGCATGTAAATTAATACTTTTCTGTGATTTTATTAGATGTTATATGTAATTTCATAAAGTTTCTACTAAAGTTAGAAACTTTACAACGCCTGTGACGCCTCCCTCCATGTCCGGGTTACCACGGTGACAAGTCCCGCCCCATCTCATATCTGATTGGTTGGCTAAACAGAAGCAACTGTAAAAAAAAAAGTGAAATAAATGGAAAAGATATGTTGATTAGAAACATATCTGTGATATTTTTTAACAAAAGTAATCTGGCAGAAGATTTTTTGTTTGTTTGTTTTTTAACGTAACACATTTACATAAAATTACAATTTTGTGTAGATTTCTTCTTACTGTTCCGCCCTCTGACCCACAACTTCACTGCATTGGTTTAGTCTCAACATCACTAGAATCATTTTGCTTTCATAGAAGAAGCTCCAAAAAGCCTCCATCCATTCCATAATGGAAGGTAGAGACCAAAAACAGAGCAAAAAGTCAGTTAATATTAGATTAAGATTCACGAACTTCGCTCCACTCATTTTTTTCACGTTGAAACTTGAGACTATTTTGAACAACAATATCTCAGGAACTATTGCAGATTTTTAAAAAAAACTTCAGTTTTCACTTTTGTTTCTCATCATGTCGTTGATTCGAAATCTGCAATATTGGACAAGTAGGTTCAACGATTTCTGATGAGGGGTGAGTTGAAGCAAGAAAAAAAGGACAGACGTCCACATGAACCACATGTAGCTGCATGTCACGATACAAAACTAAACATTTGGAATACTTTTAATATTAAATACTAGGTCATAAAAATGAAAAAAAAAAAAAGTTATTTTAATTGAACTTTCAGATTCGGCAGGTATGACAAAATGTACCACAAAGGAAAAAAAAGTTTCAAAATGGTTCTACAAATATAACTACTTTTGAAAAAGTAAGTTGGGCATAAGCACAGCCTCAAATTCAATGTGCTGTTTTAAAAGAAATATCTCTGGAAGTACTTCATATATCAAAGTAAAATTTCACAGATATCATTTCAAATATCCCTCCGATGACTTGAGATGGAACAACCTACTAGTAAATTCATGACTTTTCCTCTTCGACCTCCTCCCTGCAGCCACGCTGAGCATCACTCCGGACAGATCCCAGTTCTTCCAGTACGAACAGATCAGTCTGCACTGCGCTGCGGACTCCAGCGACTGGACGGTGAAGAGAAACACCACCCAGAAGTCCGCTCAGGCCTGCAAGCACGGCTGGGCGATCCCGGACAAGTCGTCCTGCACCATCGAGGACACCTTGCCGTCGGACACCGGCACGTACTGGTGTGAATCTAAGCAGGGAGACTGCAGCAACGCCGTCAACATCACAGTGACCTGTAAGGAACCGATGCTCCCTTTATGCTGGACTGGTTAATTAAATGGGTCAATTACAATTCCTTTGTCTTGTAGAGTCTGAGTTTTCGGCACATAACTCGTCTCTCGAGAAAACTTGTATGCCAAGACGTGCGGCTCAATTGGTCATGAAGCGCTCTGACTTTTGGAAGAGATTCGTTGTAGGTTTTAACTGCATTAAAAATCCCCATTGAGAAGAACAGGCTGCCAAAAGCCAGCCATCTTTGGAGCTCTGTAGGCATATGTTTTAAAAATAAAAACGCCATAACAAAATGTCTTCTACGGGCTAAAGTCAATGTTTATGTTTGCCCACCCTTCATACTTCTTTAAACCCTCCTTTGCAGACGATGCCGTACATTATGTTCAGGTTTGAGTCTTTCAATAAGCGTGAAAAAAAATCCAGGTACGAATTTTCACATGGTTAAATTTTCTGTTGGATCAACTTCCTTTACGAGAGCAGTTTCTAATGTTCATACCAGTTAGTTGGTGCAACCCAATTGAATTAGGTCAAACCCAACCTTTGGAAACAACCCAAACAAACTGTAAAGGGTTTTTTTAGTTTTAGCGAGATTGACTCAATTTATCTCAACGTGAGTGGATCTAACAAATGTTAAGTTGTTAAATATCATGGAAACACGACATGATTTAATCCCGTTCATCGTGGAAACGTGAAATTAAATTGCACAAAATACTTTTTAGTAACAGGCAGCCGATTTGTGAGATTTTTGCATATTTCACCGAGCTTCCCTCGCCACAAACTAGTTTCTCGCGTCTAACCTTCCACACAGGTCAACCCTCAGGATCAACTTCTAGACAAAGCCGAGCGACTTCTTCTGGCCGCTCAAAAAAACCTTCTAATCGGACACTTCTCTTGACCTTCAGCTCCTTTGTTTTGGTCCTACAGAACCTACAGATTGTTCAGAACAGCTTGAAAACCACCATCTTGTTGGCTACGCTGCCCTTGATAGCGGCCTTGCTGATGGAAAACGTCGATTTTACATCTGTCTGGTTGCGTCATCTTTGGCATTTTTGAGGAATGACGGGATGCAGACGCTGAGGGATAAATGTGTTTTAATCATTGCAATTTAGCAAAAACATCAAATCCGTCTGCATTTCAGTCGGCGCTGTGATCCTGGAGAGTCCCGCCCGTCCCGTGAAGGAGGGAGACAAAGTGACGCTTCGGTGCTCCTACAAGGAAGAAGATGATGGTGAATCAACGTCCAACTTTGAGGCTGCCTTCTACAAAGACAACGTTTTCATCGGGACGGAGAATCCAGGAGCGATGACCTTACCGGCGGTGACCAAGTCTGCCGAAGGCCTCTACAAGTGTAAACACCCGTCAGAAGGAGAGTCGCTGCCGAGCTGGCTGACGGTTAAAGGTGACGTCCTGTGTACAGTCCACCTGTGTTTGCTGTTGTTTTGATCACTGATGACACTGCAGTTGCATTGTTCCTGGAGGTCTGAGCTCGGGAAATCCACAGACTTTAGTTGGTTTTATAGTATTTTTTGGCATCAATGGAGTCAAATTTGAGGACTGTTGACGTGCAAAGTCGACCAATTTGTTCATTTAAATACCGTAAACTTCACTTTACGCTGATGTTTTTGCAGCCCTCGTGCACCGATTGGTCTTTTTCTTGTAATATTTGAATGGAAACAGTCTGCTGAAGCCACAAGGTTGAAAATGTGCTGTTTTTGCCTTCACAGCCAGAGATCAGAGTGTGGCTGTTTCCATGACGACTCCTCGGCCTCCTCCTCCTCCTCCTCCTCTCATGTCCACCACCAGGGTCATCCTTTTTGTCCTGATGTTCATCCTCTACAACATCATTCTGATCGTGTGCATATACACGTACCGGAAGGTGGCGCGAGGTAAGAACGCCTCTGAAATCCTGCCAAAGGTGTTCATGGTGGTTAAACTGCCTGGGGAGGGATCCAGAGCTAATGAGGAAGTGATCTCTGTTCAACTGGGGAAGCTGCCTCCGAACTGATTCTACAACAGCACTTAACTTCCTAAATGCCTCCCTGGACATTTTCTCCACCTTTGACGTCTTAAGTCAGCCCTCACCTGGCAGTTTCGCAAAATTCACATCTGAAGTTCTTAATCACTCTGGAGTCCAGTGGCTTTGAAATTTCTAAAAGTATTTTCAAAAATGGAGGAGACACAACATGGTGTACTTGTACAGGTGTTTGTAAAGGGGAAGCTGCCTGGGGAGGGATCTGTAACGAACAAGTCATCTGTTAAACTGGGACAGGTATCTCACAACAGGGAATGAGGGGTTTAAAACATCACTTCCCGTGTACTTAGAATTCAGTCTTGAGATACCTCCCACCACCATGAACATCTTCACCCTCACCTGGCAGCTTCACAACATTCACACCTCGAGCCGTGGATTAGTAAAGTCTGAGAGCTCCAGTGGCCTTCCCTAAAATATAGAGAAATCAAAATAAAAGGAAATGGAGGACAACCTCTAAACACGTTGTCCTGAATGTGCTCATGGTGGTGAAGCTGCCTGGGGAGGGAGGCACATGTCTTAAACTGTAACAGCTGTCTCTAAACAGAGGAAGGGGCGTCTACAACGTGACTTATCGGGTACTTTTAATGTAGTCTTGAGGTTTCTGCTCAGACAGTGTCACCACCACAACATCTGGAGTCGCCCTCACCTGGCAGTTCCACAAAGTTCACGTCTAAAGTCTTGAATCTTGGGTTGGTAATGGCCCAGGACTCCAGCTGACTCCTACTAAAGCACTTACGCTGTTGTCTTGAATTCAGTTTCAAAAACAAGGTTTAAATGTCTCTGAACTGTCACTGATCTTTTCTAAGCAGTGGTAGGTTTTCGAATTTTGGGTTAAAACTTTCCTCAAAGATGAATCAGCAGTCAGTGCAGCACAAGTTGTGTTTTCATGTAAATTCGGCAGCAGCAGAAAAACAGCAAAACCTCAGCAGCAGGAAGCAGGAAGAGGAATCAACTTGAGTTTCTGGTGAACGCTGGCGCCCTCTACCTGAGCCTCCGGGCCGGTGTCAACTCAGACAGGACGCCATGTGACAAAGCAGGAGCTGAGATAACGTGATATGGAGCAGATGGAGCTCAAACAGCAGAGATATGCAGCCATAAAGGGAGAGAAGAATTTTGTCTTGTGCTACTTGTGTAAATTTAACTCCTCTTGTGGGAAATGGCCTTGAATGCTGCTAACCGTCTCTTGGCTGTGGTTTTCCTGCAGCCCACGCCGAGGCTAAAAGAAGAACTTCAGACGAGTGATGAGTTCCGTTTCCTGCTGCAAAACGGACGAAGCTGAAGCTCAACGACTTATAAACGGAGATTAAACAGCCTGTTTATGTTCTGAGCATTATTATAGAGAATGAGGTAATGTGCTTTTTACTATTTAACTTATATTTACGGTTCTATATGATGCTTCTTTTTTTTTGTAAACTGAGAAAATGTCAGTTTTTTGACACTGAATAATATTTTTCTATAACTGTCTTCCAATAAAGTGTAACTGTGCAGCTCTGAGGTGTGATTTCTTTACATGACGTTCAAAAGAAGCTGAGAAGCAAAGACTAATACGGCTGCAACGTTTATTTATGAGTTTATTAACATATTTCACACGATGACACAGTTTGAATGTCATAAGTTATAAAAAAAAATAAGACGAAAGTTAACTTTCTTTGATCGTTTACACGACCTCAGCTGCTGTCAATACTTAAAAAAATGGCGGCTTTACAGATTAAATATATTTTACTGTTCGTATCTTGATGTTTCTGCTTTGTGTCGTGTCCAACTGAACGGCTCCTCACGCCTGATTAGTTCAGGAACTCTTCAGTCGGAAAGTTAAAACTCCAGCGATTCTCCGTGTTTTTGCCGTTTCTGGCTCTTGTAAATGGTTGTTTTTGTGATTTTATAAAGAAAACATGACTTTCAAAGCCACCGAGAGGTTTCAGAGGATTAAAAAAACAAACACAGCTGTTCTCCTGTGTCCCTGATTGATGAAGCCTCATGAAGACCTGAAGCTTCCATCCCAGGAGCTCACACGTGAAGCTTCATCTGCTCTGCTGCGCCATCAAGTGGACGATAAACGTAAAGCAGGTGATGATTCAAAGGACAATCATCTGACATAGTTTGTGTTACTCGTGTTTGGGGTCATTTTTATTTGAGAACAGCAACTTTTCAGCTTGGCTTCTGATTAAACAACAAATACAGTCGTCTAGTCTGTGCATGAACATGGTACAGAGACCTGGGCTACCTGGTTTACCTGGTCTACCTGGTCTACCTAGGCTACCTGGTTTACTTGGGCTACCTGGTTTACCTGGGCTACCTGGTTTACTTGGGCTACCTGGTTTACCTGGGTTACCTGGGCTACCTGGTTTACTTGGTCTACCTGGTTTACCTGGTTTACCTGGCTTACCTGGGCTACCTGGTTTACTTGGTCTACCTGGTTTACCTGGGCTACCTGGTTTACCTGGTCTACCTGGTTTACCTGG